TTACTGGCACTTGAGATGCAAGAAGAAATTATGCTATTACCATAAGAGTCACGGCTAATGTCGAGGTCGAGCTTTCTTAGAAATAAGTGTTTGTAGAAAGATAATACAAGTTGTTGAAAAAAATATAAAGAGAGTTATTTTCAGTGGATTTAAGTAGAAATGTAATTATGTTACTGTAAATGCAATCCTATACTAAAAAGCTTTCAAATTTGTATACATATCCTTATTATTTCAGTATGAATTTATCAATGCAACTACTGTACTCATGTATGTATGCTAATGCACTACTTTGCTAAGATAGGTATCTGTTTCTGAGACGACTTAAGCGGTTTTAGTTTTTTTTTCTGAATTGTCATTCTTTTAAGACTGAAAAAAATTGAAAAATAACAAATTTTTTTAATTTGTAATAACAATTAATTCCAATTTATAGTTTTCGTGCGAGCTAGTATTTTGATATCATTTCAAACTGCTCATTTAATAAAAATTTTTCCATTTTTTCTTTGCACTTATTTATAATCTATCGTCCTTTCTTCATATATTTTATAGCATTCACAAATTGTACAATGTCTTTGGAATTTTATAGGTGTTCTAGCGATATTTATAGAAAGTAAATTTTATAGAAGCTAAAAAAAGAATTTTGCCACCTCAGCTATCGACAGTCATCAAAATTTTAGTCACTGCTTTTTATATCCACAGCGGTCAACATGATAGGTATGGTTAAGAAATAAATCGATGAAATCATAACTTCATTATACTTTCATTTATCGCATTACCCAACGATAGGAATGGATAAAAATAGCAGATATTAAACATTTTCATCACTGTGTGGGAATTAATAATAATTAATTATATTATGAGTTTCCATTTAAACATTACTAGGATGAAAGTACGTGAGATACTTTTCAAATGTATACATAAATTGAATTTTGTATCGACAGTTATAAAGAATAGTTTAAGAATCAATAAGAATTATCACTTTAAATGTTACATTAGATTGGAGCAATACTTATATTAAAATGTTTTATTTTTATCTTATAAGAGAATTTTTTCTTATTACAAAAAGTTTAATAAATATTATAGTTTTGCTATTGTAAAAATATAATTTTTTTCAATGTATATTTTAACATTATGAAGTTTCAGCCGCAACGAAAAAACTTTGCTAATCTCAACTTTAAAACTAGACATGTAATAACGGTGTAATAACCTAATGTAATTAATATACGTAATAAATGCACAACTAGTGAATTGTATAAACATTTAATAAAAAATCGTTGGCCTTTTAAAAGCTTTAATTATGAGCTATAATTACATTGAACAGCATCTCCTTCGATTCACCCCGGGCAATTCATAAGATAAGCGTCGTTAATACGTTCAAATGTATCCACATAAGCTTCTACAAATATGCACGTATGGGGGTGATTAATAAGCATTTCAGTGTGCTATTAGTTGATAGAGTCGACAAGGAGGTCGCTTAACGCTCACTCCCTCAGGCGATTCCAACCCTCTTACACACTCAGTCTCTCTCTCTCTCTCTCTCACTCTCTCGCTTTCTCGGTCTTCCTCATCATATCACACGACGTAGCAGAGTTCGCAGCTAGCCCACGGTGTAGCTCAGAGCTACTTACTCGCACGCTGCTGAGATTAAGGCGCCTGAGGGGCCATTGCCTCTCGCGCGCCTTGCTTGTCGTGATTTATACTTATACTTATTTCCTTCGACTTTTACTTGCGTAGGGCTTCTATTGTATTAACTTTGATTTTTATCTGTTACACATGACAGTAAATATATACTTTATGAATATTTTGCTCGTAAAACGTTCGTCAGATGTTCATCGATTGTGAAGCATGCTGGATCTTTTATACAAAGAAGTCGTATTTCGAGTAGCACTAAATATTTTTATATATAATAAATAAGGAAACTCATGAAATTATTAAATATTAGGCAAAAATATTAACGGAAGTTGCAAGAAAAATTATATAACTGCGCTAGTAAGCAAGTAGAGGCGGTTGTTTTAACGCGGTTATCGGCCGACCGCGCTACCCCTCTCCCTCATTGTTTGATCATGTGATTCCCCACTCTCATATAAGCTCGTATCTCCGCCCTGCCCTCGTTCCAAATATGTTGAATAACGAGGAAAAAAGTTATATGATTTTTTTATACGTAAAAACTTGCGAGTGTGAACCTTAATCACCACCCCTCTTCCCAAATGTATTACTTTTCATAGAGTGAAGGAATCGAGAAATTTTAAAAATATTTAAGGAATATATAAAAAGAAATAATAAAATTGTAGATTTGTCTTTGTATTTACTCATAAAAACTTATTCTAGTTAGACATATTTAAAAAATACCGTTGAATTGTCACATCGATCATTGACGATAGTAGTATTCGTAATGCCATCATACTTTCCTCTCCTTGACGAACATTAGATAACATATCTGTAAACATATAAAAATTTTCCTAAAATAAAAATCACAAAAAATGATTTTACCGACTATGAAACACTGACGGATTCCCTTGAGATCTTAGTATATTGTTGTTGTGGAGGAGAGCACAGATGAAAATCTACACAAAGAGGAGACTAGGAAAGAGCTGATAAACCTGACGACAAGAAAGAATTTTCAGCTGAAAAAATCAGTACAATCCGATAACTGGAGGTGTGAAAAAATATATCTGATGAAAGCTATTTATGAAGTCTTAGGAAAAATAGAAAAAACATATGTGAACATAAGATTTTTTTAGACATGTGTAACTAGAATAAGTTTTTGCGAATAAACACAAAGAAAAATCTATAATTTTTATTATTTCATTTTATATCTTCTATAAACATTTTTTTACTTTCCTTAATTTCTTAATTCCACAAGAAGTAATACATTGTGAGGGGGGGAAGATTATACAATCGAGGAATGGAGGATGGAAGAGGCGTGATCCAATACCTGCGTGAGCTGAAATCCCCTTTACTTGCGTACTTATGCCTATTACACTCGAAATTGGATCTTATAATAAGAGTAATATTCATTAGAATTAATCTTCTTGCAATCAGAGCATTTCAACTTGTATCTCAAGATATAATTATTCTCATAGCATGAAAAACTTGTTTGCAAGCTATTTCAACAGAAAATCCCCTTAAAAACTTGTTTACTTTGTATTTTAATAAAATAAATAGAAATAACTGTGTTTTTACAAAATCAAGAACCAGAAAGTTGGCATCTTAATAAAATAATTTTGCATCTTGGGTTAAAATAAAAAAATTCTATTATGTTAATAGGACTATATTTAGCGTAAGGCCAGCGATACCACAATAGTAGACACATCAATGATGGTCGTTGCACGTGTACATAGTACATTCGCGTACATCAGGCATTCGGAGCGTGAGGCTAAATGCACTGATAATTTATGGTAAAATAAAGTGCATCCCGCATTAGAACCCGCATAGTAATTTACTTATGATTAATGGCGCAGGTGATAATTGATATCGACAATGCGCTGTAACTGAAAATCAGTATATATATTAACTTCCCGTTAATTACATTGGCGTATGTGTAAGGTTACAAGGAACTAAGGTTAAATGTTCATCTGACATTGGCATGCAAACATTTGCATGGGCAAAGCTATAAACACGACGTAATCGGGAGCATGGTATAAACTTTAAGGGCGAAAGACGCAGGAGGAAGAGAGATGGTCCACATCATAAACGGGCAATCTGGGGAGTAGAGCAGTGTGTACTATGTATACCAACGATAGCATAAGTTTTGGATGTCTTGTGGTTCAATTGCACGTCCGCAAAGTCCGCAGATCGCGCAATGTGCTTCGGTTTTGGTTCATCAATGGCGAGCAATAGCTTGGACTAAGTTCCTACTAACGTATACTTGGCAAACTCTTGGGTACTTGTCGCGAATATTGGCTTTGCACACACAGACATATATATGTGTGCCAGCCAATATATACGCAAACAGGCAACTTCAGTCTAATTAATTTAACAGGCCAAGATCATACAGCTGCCTTCCGACGATTCCCAGAGAGAGAGAGAGAGAGAGAGAACGAGAGAGAGAGAGAGAGAGAGAGCGAGAGAGAGCGAGAGAGAGAGAGAGAGAGAGAGCGAGAGAGCGAGAGAGAGCGAGAGAGAGAGAGAGAGAGAGAGATGCTTGTCTCGCACTACCGTTGCTTTTGCTTCCAATAACAATTTGCGCACCCTGCCTGGTCGATTAGAGCAATTTTCCCAAGAGGAAGATATAGCACGTTTAACTTATTAGATTGACCTAGGGGCTATGAGTTCGCAGAGGGAAAGTTTTGCCGAGAAGGGGTGATTATGATTGAAACTGTAAAATGAGTTGTTTGATAGTTTAGCGAGGTGAGAATATCTGGCCCTCTCTCTCTCTCTCTCATTCTCTTGCGTTCGTAAGGAGTATTTGGATAAATTTGATAGAGTGAAATTGCCCGCGTGCGAGTTGAACTCGAGTTATTCGAATTCTCGCTCTCATGCTCGTGTTTTCCACGTTCATTAACATGAATCGGTCAAAAGTTTTTGAATGTTCGCCTCTCTCTCTCTCTTTCTCTCTCGTGCTATTTTCACCTGAATTCCAATAAGGATGGTAATTAATGCATTAAACAATTTTAAATCCTGGAAGAACACAGTTTAAGAAATATTCTAGGTAAGTAAATTATGCGAGATTAAGAATAAGTTATAGATACAAATTAATATTTTGGAAATGTATTTTGAAATAATCGAATCACTTTTTCATATAGTCTTTACTACGTCCATTTATGATTTTCCACTACTTTATAATTGTTGCATACGATGAGAATATTTATGAAGAATAGATTAATTCGAGAAAGTGATGAAAAATGGAAAAACGTAGTATTTGGCATATAAAAACAAATAGGAAATTACAAACATATAGAAATATGACTGATGCATAAAAGGTGATGAAAGATTTTTATTACAACTACGCATTTTCATTAAGAATAATTACATTGTACAAAGATTTATAATGAGTTGAAATTTTATTACTTCAGCTTTTAGTTAACCGAATAATCGTATTTTTATCATACTTGTTATATACATTGAAAACCATTCATGAATAAACAGTACATTATAGAAAATATAATTAAAAATCATTTCTGCAAGTCTTGAACATTTCCGTAAAAGCCGTGATACAATGAAATATTTAAAAACTTAAACCAGTATGCTGGAGACGTTCCAATTTTATTTGTTCTACATATAAAAAGCAACTGTAGCTTTTCTCTTTGAATGATTCAGGTACTGCGCATAGAACTGCGTAGATATTTAAAAATTATGAGACAATCTGCACCGAAGTGATTGAATAATAATTGCTTTTTCAAGCATAGTACTTACTAGTTAAATTTATTGATTTGAATTAAACACACACAATAGTTATGCTATATTCTTGGAGCTATAATTGTGTAGTGTCTCAAATTTTATCTGATTGAAAAGTCTCAATGACTTTTATTTCTATCAGGTACATTTGCAATCTCGTTAATAACTATAATGCTAATAACATTCCATGTTTAAATCAGTTTTATTTTAAGTTTATTTTTTGAATTATCAATTTAAAAATCTAGAACTAAATTTTAGACCATATGTATCAATCTTTTAAATATAAATGATACCAAAAGTTAAGAAATTAGACATATTTTCTTTCTTCTTTAGTCACTTTTTTGTATTGTAAAAATCGCTTTCATTTGGGAAAATTCAATTTAATCCCTAGATAGTGTAGTCTTGAATAAATATTCTCCAATTCATATTCAACAGACTCCAGAGTAGTGAAAATTGTTTTTAAATCTGGAATAAGTTTTCTTGGCAAGTATTTTCCATTCAAATTATCAGCGTAGCGGGTCGCAAAGTTCATCGTATCATCCATCTTCTTTTGTCCATTGTCGTATTTCTTTTTGTCTGCCTACTCCTCGTGTCATCGCATTAAGAGGCCACTGGCGAAGCACAAGGCAGTTGTACTCAAAATTGTGGTCAACGTGATCGTACGTGTCTTGGATTCTGAAATACAGAGAGAGGAGAGAAACGATTTAGTACGGCGCGACTGTGGTCTGGGTGTGAACGTGATGAAAGAGAAGGCAAGTACCGTGATTCTCGTTGGCCGCTACTGTGTATTTATGGCTCAGAAAAACTGTAAGGAATTGATGTACGTGAATTCTTTGACTTTCTATGGACTTGAAATAATCTACTTTAAAGACAAATAAGTATTTGATGTACAATAATGCTTTGATCCGGGGATAGAGAACGCTGAATTCAATCAACAGTTGCGTAAACCAGTGTAAGTGAGAATTTTATAAAAAGTGCGAAAAATAAAATGTCAAATCTCACCTAACATAGCATTGGATTTTATGACGCGACATAAAAGTAAGAATGAGTATGTGTCTAGAAAGTCCACAGCTTCGATAAAATGGTACTGACGCGTAAAGTAACGCCACATTTATCATGCACAAAACAAATAATTGATTATTTTATTGTTACTGGAAATACTTTTAATAGACCATTACTTCGAACACTATTCTAATCAATTAATTTAATAATAAATTTATCAAGTTCAATTAAAATTGCGGAACTAATGAATGACAAAGTTTTAACATTGAGTTATAATTTGTAATCATTTATAATGCAAATTAACATTACACGAGGATAGAGAGATTCTTTTCAGAATCACAAATTACACTTTACAATATTTCTTCTTTAATCGAGATTATGTTTTGAAAAGCCAACAAGAACCAGCGTAAAATATTATTATTATTTAAGAAGAACAAACAGACGAAAAAAGGAACAGATTTCTATTGGCATTAAATTATTTGGCAAATTCCGAATTGAGAAACTTACAAAAGAATATATATTATAAAAAGCTTACCCAAGAATAGTATGCCTATACGGTTCATTCTTAAAAACATCAAAGTGAGTTCGGTTTCGTAGTATGATCGTTCGTTTCGTAGTATGACGTTGATCTATAATCATAAGAATGAATATTATTAAACTGAACAAAATCAGTATTTTTTTACCTATCTAATTATAGTTTTGATGTAATTAACTCGCTATGATTTTATTTTAAAGAATATTCGATTAGATAAATATATGAATATCGATACATTTAAATAAAAATCTAAATAACCTTCTGAGTTTTTAGATTGTATAATACTAATTATAAGTAATATCTCAATGAATACAAAGATATTTTATTATTCTGTTTTTATAATGATCTGTTTCTATACCTTTTGCTTGGATAGTAAACAATTATATTACGAGGGTCGTTTGAAAAATCCGTGCAAAGTCAGAGAGATGGCGCTACTAGTGCGTATCAAGGTTATTTTTAGTTAGTGGCATATCTTGGAAGAGCACACACCAAGTTTCAGCCAGATCGGCCAATTACTTTGCGTTTTACATTCGTTTTAATCAAAGAAATCTAGTGGTTGTAAAAAACTGGACGAAAAAGAATTTCGTGTATTGATTAAACATTACTTTTTCAAAGGCAAAACGCCTCAGGAGATTAAACAGAAGCTTGATAAACATTATGGTGATTGTGCACCTTCGATTAGAATGGTTTATAAGTGGTTTCAAAATTTTCGGAGTGGGCATATGAGCACAAAAGACGCTGAACGTTCTGGACGCCCTGATGAGGTTACCACTTCAGAAATCATTGATAAAATCCATGATATGGTGATGGCTGACAGAAGAGGGAAGGTGCGTGAGATTGCTAGTACTGTAGGCATCTCGAGCGAACGGGTACATAATATTTTGCACCAACATTTGGACATGAAAAAGCTATCCTCTAGATGGGTGCCGCGATTATATACTCACGATTGACCAAAAACGAGATCGTGTGAAGTGTTGCAAGAATGGTTTGCAGCTGTTCCAGCAAAATCCGCAAGACTTTAAGCGTCGTTTCATCACTGTAGATGAAACATGGATACATCATTACACTCCTGAGACCAAAGAATAGTCTAAACAATGGGTTACCAAGGGGGAATCTGCTCCGAAAAAGGCGAAGACAATTCCTTCGGCCGGGAAGGTTATGGGGACTGTCTTTTGGGATTCGCAAGGAATAATCTTCATCGACTATCTGGAAAAGGGTAAAACCATTACAGGCGAATATTATTCATCGTTATTGGATCGTTTGAAAACCGAGTTGCTAGATAAACGTCCACGATTGGCCCACAAAAAAGTCCTCTTCCACCACGACAATGCGCCAGCTCACGCCTCAGCAGTTGTGGCCGCAAAACTGATGGAGATAGGGTTCCAACTCGTTTCACATCCCCCCTATTCTCTAGACTTGGCTCCGTCGGACTACTATTTGTTCCCTAATATGAAAAAATGGCTGACGGAGAAAAGATTTTATTCAAACGAGGAGGTGATTGCAGAAACGAATGCCTATTTTACAGACTTGGACAAATCCTCTTATTTGGAAGGGATTAACAAACTAGAGCAGCGTTGGATGAAGTGTATAAGCCTAAAAGGAGACTATGTTGAAAAATAAAAAAGATTTATTAAAAAAAATCAAGCAGTTTTTATTTTTGCACGGACTTTTCAAACGACCCTCGTACCTATAAGAATACATTCCACAAGTGTTCCAATACAACTTTTTCTTCAAATGGATCATAATTAGCAGTGCTAACTTTTTTCCGATCAAGAAATCTGTCAACAGAAACAGTATACATACAATCTGCAGTAAATAAGAAATTGAGTCATTCCAACATTATCAACATTCGTTAAACAGTAGTTTCTAAATTATCTGATAAGCAAAATTCAATGAAGCATAAATAAAATGATTAACCTCGTCGGCAAGCGACTTCGAGCTAGTTTAGTTAAGGAGGGATTATCGTAGACAGTGTCTCACTCGGCGCGTTCGCGCCGCGAAGGATAAATATCGTTAATTTACGCCTGGAGCTAGAGCAACAGTTTTCCTCTCAAAGTTTCTTCGTTATAAATTGAGACGCTAAATAGTCGGTCTTTGTAAGGAGCATTTTCAAGTTTCACAGCAACAAAGAAAAATAGACGAAACGTCAAGCGACGGCCTAGAAATTTGTTCTGTACGAAGCAAAGTATGTATACGCCGAAAAATTGAAAAAGAGCTGCACTAGAAGAAATCGACACTCGAGAATTAAGCCCTAGGGATTTTAGAGACGAGAGAAATTCGAAAGTTGCGGTAGTAAGACGAGAGAGAGAGAGTAGCGAGCGAAGAAGAACTAGTAACAGTACGAAGGATCACAAGGCAAGTGGTTGCGGAATGATATCCACTCTTGCAGGACTGTAATACTTCTCTCTCTCTCTCTCTCTCTCTCTCTCTCTCTCTCTCTCTCTCTCTCTCTCTCTCTCTCTCTTTCTCTCCTCTACTCTAAAACTATCCGATATGTTAATTTCTTCTTTATATGATTCTACCCTGAGCTTTGTAAAGGCAGAACATTACAAATATATAAATTATAAGTACAAGTATGACCGAAGTAGATTTAGTCTACAAAAATTCGATCGTACTACAGCTTTTTTTATTTTTTTATTATTTGCCATGATAGTACAAGACATAGCAATTGTTAATTATTATGATTATAATAATTAGCAATGAAAAACTATTAAATATTAATTATTGTTAACGGTTTTTGTTAGACAATGAAAACCCAATTAATATTAATCATTCAGACTGAATTTTTTCTCTGAACCATATACCTAGAAAGTATACAATAGAGAGAAGGAAGGTGTTCTGTCAAAGTTGAAGAGAAAAGCGATACTTTTTAACATTAGAATACTTTTTGATGTTCAAATATAAATGAATATTTTTTTTCATTTTTATATTACATAAGCTTAAATGTAATTGCTGTGGTAATCAGAAATAGTCAAAATAAAACAGTTAGTATAATTAGATATATTTTTTATTTATTAGATAATACAAAGGTGAAGATACTTGCTGAGCTTTAATTTTTTTAAAGCTATTCGTTGGCTGCAACATACACAACCAAAGGATTATATTTTCCTAGAAATTTCCAATTACAATACCACAACAAAATAGTATACGATTACTATATTGCGTATGTATATGCAAATAAATAAATAAATATCAATAGGATATTTTTACAGAAACGATTTGGCAAAAATAAACATTGCTATAATAGAATTAATTTGGCAAAAACGGATGCAGAATAACGTGGTGAAATAAATATCGAGCGAGAAATAGCTAACAAGTATGAACACTATAAAAGCTTAATTAAACATTCTTAATTGCGGAAAAGCCGGTCATTCAGCTTATCGAGCCGTTGTTTGATAAGCTTATAAATTCAAAATATGTTGACTGAATTATTTGATATAGTATAATATAAAGAGCAATGATTATTAATATTCTTATAAATAAGTTTGATGGCGCCATCTTTACGACGAATAGAAATCGTATTATTATACTACCAAAACAAATAAAAAATAATCATCAGTCTTTGTAGATAATTTCATAAAATAAAAGTAATTTCTCTTTTTTTCAAGAACAACAAGCCATTCTTTAATCATTTCCTCTATATGCGGGCACTAATGAAAGGCATCAGCATGTAAAATCAAGAGCAATCGCTCACGCTTACTTAGCAAGTAGTGCAACTCACCGTACGCACCGCCGTCGCGGCATCACGAGAGTGTATGTTCCGTAGGTTTTCTCACCTGCAGTGCACAGCTGGTCACCTCGGACAAGAAAGCCACACCGGCAAAGACTGCGGCATAGTTGGTACCCAGAGTCCCGCTATCACCGAGCGAAAGAGAGAGAGAGAGAGAGAGAGAGAGAGAGAGAGAATAATAACCCCCACTTCTGCGCCGTGCACAGCTCAGAGTCGGCGCCCCTGCATCGCATGTTTCCACCCACCTACTTCCAACCCCTTCTTCTTTGCCAGCATATGTATGTATTCGTGTCTAAGAAGACAATGCCTGTTAGTTGTCAATTTTTTCATGACTCGCGTAAAATTTTGCGCAATTGTAAAAAATTATTCATGAATTTGTTTATTTTTTCGGTGTTTTTTCTTGCACACACACAGATATACGCACTCACGCATATATATATATATATACTTATATACGGAGTTACAAATATGTAATTCGTCGCCTAACTTTATTCTCCGTCCGGGAAACTTTATAAAAAATTGCACTAAGTGGAGCTTAAAAAGGATAGTCAGTATTTTAGTTGTTTTATAACTTCTTTTTTAAGTGCTGTTTTTTTATTCGTTTTCTCAGAAATTCAATCAGAAGCTGAAGGCTCGCCGCGGTTTTTTGCTATCCAAGTTTCGTCTTTTAGTGTGTCGACATACTTGCTTTTTTTACTTCAAAAGTCTTTCAATACTTTTAAGTAGCTGTTGTTAAAAGGGGCGACACATCGAACTCTTTCTTGTTATGTGACGAGATACTTTATGTGACCAGATACTTTATGTGACCAGATACTTAACGTGACCACAAAGTAAATACGTGAAAAGCGAGTGTTTATTTTTCATTTTTTAGCAAAACTTAAATGATATGATAATGCTCTTTTTTAATCTGAAATGGTATGATCGGTCTTTTTTAAATTTCCTTCAAAACCATTATTGCTACAATTCACTTCAATGAGAACAGACTACATAACATTTATTTGTAAACTAAAAATCGCAAAACATCGATCCATATCCATATTTATACATCGCACAAGACATTTTAAGCGATAGCATGAGTACAAATTTGCAATTTGAAGCAGAACTTTCTCAAGCGAATTCAACGCATGCATAGCGTCACATGAAGTACAATTTAGAGAGCTACGCTCTTCAATGTGCCGTCGCACGTTTCAAGCGTTGCGCACTTTTCCTCGCGCATACACGTGCCTTGCCCATCAATTTTAGTAAAGAGTTAGCACATTGGAAATTCATCTAGGAGCTTTCAAATTCACACAAATTCTGAACTTTGTCACGCTATCTTCGTTAAATTGCAGAAAGACGTTGATATCTGTTTGTTTCTCTTAGATCCGCAAAGACTTAGGTATTTTAGATATTAATTTATTCGTCAGTAGAGAAATATTTTTAAATGTAAAAATTATGTTTCGTGGAAGAAAGATCTAGGATAAATAGCGGAGGATGTTTTTATAATAAATTGAAATTACAAGCATTCCCTCCTTTTATTACTATTTTAAAAAATTAAAAAAAAATGAAAGAAAAGAAATATAGTAGGATTTAAGTAGTTCTAAAATAGCCATCTCAATCCTAATATCTACGATTTATTAAGAAATATTAACTGAATAACCATTAGAGCTTAAGTCTAATATTAATCTTTTACGGTCTTTTTCGACAAGGAATTCATTCATTATGATGCAGTTTGACTTGGCTAGTTGCCGAGAGTTCGCCAGGATGACTTTCCTAAGAAAGGGCATGAGCATGGATACTATCGACTTAGTTACCGCATCAGTCTTAGAGTCTACCTTGTATCTTTTTTATGATACCAATGAATCGACCCATTAACTATTAATATACCAAAAATACAAAAATTTTTAACGGATATATTTCATAGAAGTGTAGGCGGTGGATCCATGAATTCATATAAATCAGCATAGAGCTTTACTTTGGGTACTGGAGAAACAAAAAACTCAGACATTACAAGAATATGCAAAGATTTCTTAAAATGAAGATCGTCTAAAAGAAAATATTACTCCATGTGGAATTCGAAAAGGTACTATAGTATCTGTTAACCTTATTGACCCTAGGAATAGTCTATAAGATGCAAATTCTCGCTTTAAAAAATATTGATTACATTAAATAACCAAAAGAGCACATTACCATCAATAAAGAAGAAACAATAAAAACTTCTAAACCACAGAAAGTTCCACCAACTTTAGAAATACCTTTTTTTTAAGAAAAAACAATATTTGTCAAGCACAAATCTGAATAGATCACGTGGAAAAAACAAAAGACTTTCGCAACCAAGAAAAGTGCTTATTTATTTCATGGAAAAAAATTTAAGCCAAGTTAGTGCTACTACTTTCATTCAGTAGTTTCATGATTTAAGAATAAATAATAAGGGAGAGAATTTTGTGAATGCAATATTAGCGCAATGATGTAATAAAAACGTATTCTTTAGATTGTCTACTAGAAAAAATAAAGAATTATTGTGTAAAATTATTTTCTTCTATTAGAATGTATTAAATTTGCTATAATTTTACTGTAATCTCGAGAAAGAAGCTCGTAATATAATTCGACAATTAAACGTACTTACCTAAGTGGAATTCTATCGGAATTATATGGAGAGCCTCTTCTGAATAGCTCAGTCCCAATCAAATAGATTTTCCTCGTAGCTGTATGTTGGCCCTTTTTTCCTTATAATACGTATTAATAGTTACAGTAAACTTAAAAAATAAGACTTAATCACAGACTGCGCGAGATTATTGCCACGCTACGCCAACATTAATAATAGACGCAGGTTGTCGAGCACCGTAAATTTCTTACTTTAAAAAGTGTAGTATCATCGACATTAAGATGGGGCATGACGATGGGATCTTTTCGAAAGAGGCTCTCCAAATAATTCCGATAAAATTTCACTTAACTAAGTTTATTTAGTAGTTGAATTACAATACTGCTAATGAGTAACCGTCAATATAATTAAATGTCACCCTCCGATAAATATAAAAAATAAGATGGTCCATTAATACGGGACAGGTAAGAGAAGAGAGACCTAGATGTCTTTAGCTTGGTTAAATGCGGGCCGCTGTCACTATAAATTTCGCGAGAACGTCTATTAATTATTGATGTAAGGATTACGCTAATGTAATAACAGATGACTCAGACAAGATGAATTAGTAATCAGTATATTATCGCTCTCTAGAAAACAGTAGATTTCACTAATATTAAAAGCTATTTTATTAAGTTGCATTGATTCAATGTGTGAGTTAGGTTATTTTCATAAACCTTTAGTTAAGAGTAAATACTTTATTTTAGATAACTGAAAACATTGGAACATGATAAAAACTGATGATTATTATACGCGTTATCAGCGATAAAATCCACTGATAAACTTATCACACACCATTTTACAATAATAATGATGTGAAATAACATATAACTAATTTGATATTGACTTCTGTAAAAAATTCTGTTTATTTTTTAATTTTTTCAGGCAGAAACCCTTCTTAAAGCATTAGCGCGAATTTTCAATACTTTTTTCAGAACTACTTAAGCAAACATGACTAAAACCAGAACAGACATTTTTTTTTTCTCACAACTGCAGCTGGTTATTTTCGAAAAAATAAGAAAAGTACAAGAGCTATGAACGGTAGCAGAAGGTGAGCACACGGTATGAAGGAGGTCGTTTGTTATCGTTGCTCGAGCTACGATTATCTTAAAAATCGAAAAATATTGAGGGGCTATAATTAGCAAATATTTTATTAGGTCGCGAAGCTTTTTAAAGGAGAGGAGGAGAATAAACGAGCCGTTTTGAATATTCAAGAAGAAACGCAAGGCACGTACGAGATGACCGTGCGATAGGTAACCACCCACAAGTAAAAAAATTGGTTAAAATGTTTAGCAAAACTATATCAAATGATTGGTCTAAAAATTGTATTTAAAAATAGATTTATCCAAGTTTACTGAATTTTTCCACTATTTTTCTTGCGCGCACGAGCTTAAAACTTAACAATTCCCTATGACAACTAACAGAACGATTTGATTACCAATAGAGTCTGTGAAGTCTTGTTTTTATTACATGGACATACATAGTTACTGGTTGATTAATTGTTGAGTAGTAGATACAACAGTACGTGATTCAAATGTCGTATAATCGTAATTTATTAGCTACCTTTTGATGTATTACGAATATTACCATACTAGGTTATTACCATATTACTACCATATTGAAATCGTGATTACTGCTGTTCAGTCAAACATATTTTTGATATATGAGTAATGAACTATTATATAATAGGTGGACGTATATTGAAATGATTCCTCAATTGATTTATTGAAGAGTTCATTTAAAATTTGCAGTTAATTTAGCAAAGACGCAATAATTCTCACGAATGAATATTTTAGATTGCATCCAAAATTAGGTAAGTAAATTATAGAAAAGAAATAACTTGAAAATATGTTATTCAACGCTCATCAAAACGAATTCCTTGGATTCTGCAATTGGAGATAACGTTTTTACAGTATGAAACGAAAATGCTACGTCTCCGATATTTTTACTTCAGCTAAGATAGCAAAGAATTTGTAAAAGTGGAGTTTCAAAGCACGCATACGTACCTTGCGAGATCTCGGTAAACGTGTATTTCGAAGCCTCTATTTTGAATAATCGACAACTGACATTTACTCGATTCAGGCCACAAGCTAAAAATGCCTCGAGATCAACTAAAAAATTAAATGAGGCTTTACAAGTATGCTAGCTTCTGCTGTTTGATTTCACTTTTAAAGTTTTTAATGAAGTTAATCCTTCAATCCCTCCTAATTTTTTAATACACCTATGTTATAAAAATATTTAGCCTGTTTTGCATGACCTTTTGTAATAAAGTATAATGACGAAAGCAAAAAATTAAATTGTCCACTCGAAATCACTCAAGCAATAACAGAAACAATTACAGTTAGTTGAAACAATCAGAAACAACAAGTGGATTTACACAGCTACGTCTTATTCAACATTGCAAAGCTGTGTGTAAGTTAAATGAACACTGATATGTGATACGGAGTCTTTTGTCACGTGAGAT